TTTAGAGTTGGATTAGCATAAAACTAAGTTATGCCGATCACTTTCTTGCATTTTTCGTGGTTTGAGCGATGGTTGTAGAACCTTCTTGGGATGTTCAGCACCAATATATATACAGTTTATACATATGTATACATATCTGCCCTTCTGCTGTGTCTGCATGGAGGTGATGTAGGTATGTAGACTAGAAATAGCCAATAATTAATTTCCTTGAATCCCTTTTTTTATTGCCTTGTAGAAATTAGTTGTGCTTCACAGAAAGTCGTAAAAATGCTGTTCGCTTGAAACAATCCTTGCTAAAAATCAGCTATAAATTTTCATTTCCGGGTCTTGCTTAAAACTTTATTCAAGGGTACTCTATATTTATTGCGACTGGTTCTTCTGTGATTTTATTTTTCCCAGTTGGCTTTATTAATTTTTTAAAATCTTCAGTTGAATGTTTCTCACTTCTTTTTTCTTCTTCATTTCCCCCTAACTTGTTTCATCTGCGCTACATTTACTTCCTGCAAGGCATTTATTTTTTCTTCCGGCATTTCCCCGTGGCGCCCACGACTGCTTGTGTTGTCTTAGAAAAAAAAAAGTGCTGACTTTCTCGCTGATCACGGCGGACTCTTTGTACACCTTGTAGTTTTTTGTCTGCACCCCGGGGGGAACTGTGTTTGTCGTCGGTTGTGACGTTCACAAACGTTGATTTTTCCATGCTTGGTATTGACTCGAATAATCCAGATGCGGGCTTCTTCGTCGACGTTGCTGTTGGTGAGCGTGTTGGACCAGAACGATAACTTCCCGCAATTCGTTCGATCCGTTTACGAGGGATACGTGCGAGAATCAGCGTCCGTGGGATCGATGGTGCTCACGAATTCCAGCACCCCTTTGGTCGTGAAAGCGGTCGACAAAGACCGCGGACTCAACGCTCTTCTCCGCTACGACATGGTGGAGAATGGACCGGAAAATCGACTTTTCTCCGTGGACACGAATACCGGTGAGTTTCCGTTTGCCACGCAGAAGTGTTTTTCTCATTTGCAGTAATTTTATTTATTTATTTTTTTCATTCTTCCGGGCCGGGGGAGGGGGTTTCGAATCGGGAGAAGGAAGTACTGTACTGTGCAAGGATTTGTCAATTTATGTACAGCAAGGCCTTGAGCGAGATGCAGAAGTAATTGGCATACTACTGGCTTAGACTTTTTGTCCCGGTTTCGGATTTTCCGCATGTTTGATGACGTTTTCCCATGGATTTAAGTTGGAATATCTCTGATTGCTTCACATGTTGACCGAGAAGTTCCCTGATAATTGAATAAAATATTGTTTTCTCGATTTGAATGTGCAGAATATAACAGCACAGTTGGATGAATATCTTTGATTGCTTCTCGTGTTGACCAAAATGTTCCCCCTGATAATTGATTAAAATCATTTGTATCAAGTTGAATATGCAGAAAATAACAGCACAGAAAGAAATTACACATAGTTTGATCTTGTGGCAAGAAAGGGAGTCCAAAAAGCAAAGAACAAGCACAAGTAACATTGTAAATTCAACGTTACAATTCCATTGAATTTACAATTTCAATGGATTGTAAATTGTCTTATCTTTTTATTCCGCGGCAGACATTGTTATAAATACTGTCAAGTAATGATCACCAGAATAATCAAGCCAACTGATGTTATATAATATTGTGGGACCTGAAGAAATGCGATGTATCTTAATTCGCCCGAATGATCTTGATAAAACTGACTAGCTGAATAATTCCCAACCTGACGTGGGTACGACGGAATTGACAAGATTTTGAGTACTGTATTCCCTACCTCCCGGTTCTTCTATTCTGCAGTCTACTTACTACTTCTGTGCAAGAATAACATCTAATAGACTCGAAATTAAAGCCACAAAAGAGAAAAAGACTAGAATGAGCCTTAACGACCTGCTTAGTATCTGGACTGAACATCTGTTCTTATACAGTAATACTGTACTGTATTGTTTTTAACGACAAGGACAAGAAACGTGCCTACTAGACTTCTTAATGCTCTTAAGGAAGAGCTCTTCGTGTCACACTTTCCGCCCAAGACACAACTAGTCGTAAAATACTTAGACAGTTAAAAAGAGTCTCGCGATTTTATAAATTCGAGAGGTATATACAGTATGTGGATTTGTTTTTGCTGGTCCCTTGAAGTTTGACTTGAAGAGATTCGACTGTACACCTCTCAAATTCTTATTCCAAATTCAAATACTTGTTTCCAATATTTTGGAAACGAGCAATTGCGTTTTGGGAAAGAAAAAAATCAACAGGAAATCATGATTGATTCTATTCAAAGCATTAACTTACTTGATCGACACGTCTCCTGAATTGATGTCGAAGACAAGAGAAAGAAAAATAAGATGTCAAATGGAGAGAAGAAGCATTTCCGAAGGCTTGATGAGAATTAAGTAAAACTTGAAATACATTCATTATCGAGGGGGTTTTACCATAAATGCAATGAACAATTTTGCGATTTGGGTAGGAGCAGAACACTGGATTTTGGCGGTCGTGTCCAAAATAATTGTAATTGAAAATGATACTTCAGCTTGTAGAAAATCTAGTTCATCTTAAAGTTCCCTGGATGTTTTTTAAAACTCTACCCCTTTGTTATTAAAAAACACCCTTTGACCCTTACTATTTTATTAACGTCCTTTACCATTTATCAATTATTCTGGGCCGTAAATTACTTCTCAAATTAGTTGACAGGATGCTGAACTTGGAGGCAGGGGTCCATTGGACCAATTAGTCTTCCCCTTCCTTTCAAAACGCATCCACTTATTATTCCATTGTTTTTCTCTTGCCTGTACCGATAAAATACTAGCTTGAAGACCTCCGGAAATTCAGAGTTGTGGAGGTTTGAGGAGGAAAGCCTTGAGTTGGGGATGTTTTTAACGCATTTTTTCTCAGTGAATTCAGAGAGGGCCTTCAAAAACATTTGACTTGGGGACGTATTCGACGTATCGATGATCTACTTTTCTCTATTTCCGGATCTTTGTTTCCTGGAGAAATATGCATCTCATAGACTCGTATTTTCGCCGAAGTATAACTTAAAGTATGCGGCCCCGTGGTGGACTATAATTCTTATCAATTTTTGTATAATCGGTAGGTATAATTTTGGCTTTAAAAAAAATATTCGACTTGCGGAGTTTCGTGTTATCGATCTTCAACTGATTTTTTTCGTTGTTTTTGTTCTTGCTTATATTTGCAGGTGCTGTGAAAACGAAAGGCATTTTGGACTTCGAAACAATGCCAGTGGTGGAGTTCAAAATCCGCGTGTCAGATAGCGGGACTCCGTCTCTGCGCGCAGACACTGTAGCGATTGTCCGGGTGCACGTGGAAGACGTGAACGACACTCCGCCACAATTCGACTCACTTTTCTACAATGCCACGTTGCATTTGCCCACTTACAAAGGTGTAGCCGTGGCCCAGTTGAACGCATCCGATCCCGACAGTTCTCGCGACTCGCTGCGTTTCGAACTGGTTCACGGCAACGAAGACGGCGCATTCGTCTTGGATCCCGTGTCGGGTTTGTTGTCTATAGCGAACCCGGGGGTGCTCGACAAGACGCACGAGCTACAAGTGTCGGTGAGCGACGGGAAGTATTCGGGTGCGACTGTGGTGAGGATCAATTGCGAGACGAGTTTGGACTCGGGGCTGCGATTCGAGATGGACCGGTACGAGGCGAGTGTGGAGGAGAATTCCACGAGGATCCTCATCGTGGAGATCGTCAATTTGCTCGGATTGCGGCTCAATGAGCACGTGGAGTTTAGGATCCTCAATCCGTCGGAGCTTTTCGAGATCGGGCTTACGTCGGGCGCCATCCGGACCTGCGGGATCCCCTTTGATCGCGAGCTCCAGGAAAAGTACGAAATCATCATCGAAGTAAGTCGCTGCATTTCCCTTTCTCTTCTTTCTTTTTTTGGTACCAGACCAGAACTTGGTGAAGGAAAAAATCCCTCTCATCGTCAATAATGAATGCAGCAGTATCTCTGTGAATAATGGGCAAGCCAGCTCGAAAGTGCTGGTGATGAAAAATTGAGTATTTTTCAAACCACGCTGCTTGAAGCAACGAAGGGAGTATAGGATGGTTCAAAACTTTTCTCGCGAGATATGAAGTATTTCCCGGATTAATTTTACGCCCGAATATTTTCACGATTTGTATGAAATCAAAAAAAAAAATCCCAGAGGGAGAGAAAGGTTTGGAAAGTGCAGACGTTCATTGCGCGTTTCATGATTTGTGGATGCATTGGCTTGGTGGGACCAACTTGTCAAAATGGAAGTCGTCAACGGTGTTTTTTTATGTCCCAAAGTTTTTTAAATGGCCCAGAGCCTTTTCACTGGCGGTAAAGTCTTATTAGGTATGCAAATAAGACGCATGCCTCGTCCTTGAACTAAGTACTTAATTTAATAATCAACATTGGAAAATGCTACCTGGACACTGTAAAGAGTGTAAAGTATGTAAACGAAGCATCCGTTGAATCATTTTTAAGACTTGGGCGCATTCAATCACCCCGGAAAAAGCGAAAATTTTCTGATGTCATTCATCGTGGATTTGAAACAAATTTCCACATACCCAGCTTAAAAGATTAAATCTTCATGAGTACAACACTGAAGCAATACAAGAACAGGTGTCAAAATGTATTGCACTTGAAATTTCGTGGAATTTGGCAGAAATATATTGTTTATCGACCAGTAAAGCGGGTTCTTTGAATCATAAATTAATGTACTGAACCTTCATGTGTGCTTTTATTTTAGCGTGAAAAAGTATTCATCTTTCAATTGCTCTATAAATATCCATATCACATTCCAAGTCGGCAGTTCGCGCAAACCGCTTTTCAATTAATAATTTACATGGATCATCCAGCTCAATAGATTCCATTGAATGTCCCATCAGAGAATATGAGTGGACCTCGTACGGCAGGAGGTTCTAGTCTTCTGATCAATTATTCACAACAAAACTCACCATGGTTGCAGAAACCCTTGAAAAGAAAAAATACCCGCGCGGGGCCGACTTCGAAAATTCGTCCGTTCAACCTTTCGACTTCAAATGCCGGACGGGATGAATGTATCGTTCCGCAGTTTTCTCTGGACGACGAAAAGGGGCAATCGCTAACTTTTATCTCGTCGACACCCGTTTATACTGGGTTGACAATTCTGTCGACCCACTATTCCTTGAGACCGTTGTACGGGTGCGCGCCGTCGACGTTTAAATACTTTCTATCGCTGCAGAGCCTAAGACACACAGTGGGTATGACGCCCAGGACCGTGAACAAAGGAGCGAGCTGAGCTTGCTTCGCTTATGAAGTGAGAAAATACCGGGACGGGTGACCAAGAAAATGAAGAAAAAACTATGAAAAGAAGAAGAAGAAGAAGAAGAGGAACAAGAATGAATCACGAGTCACGACTACTCTGTCACATTAACAGGGACATCATTGCGGGCCAGGAGAAGTACATGTGCTTCTTCTTTTTCTTTTTTTCCCTGAATTGTCTTGTCGCGGTAGGCCCCTTAGAAGGCTAACGGTGTCATTTCGAAGTCTGGACTATGGCAAAAGGGTGCTATATCTGGAGCCTTTAACCGTATATTACGAGATGCTGTCGGTGTAAAGGGGATATCCTTGAAGCATATGTTGGATTTTTAGCAGAACCCAGCAAAAGAACAGAACTCAAACAAGGTATATCAGCCAATTTGCAGTCAGGAGCATATAAAGATGGACTCTCTCTTCAACAAGGTTCAAAAGGCCGGAAAAATATTTGTCTTAGAGATAATTTTGTTGTAAGTAATCCCTGAAACGTGGGTAGAGAACAATATGCAGGAACAAGCAAAACGTCTTTACTCTCGTCCAAAAAAAGATCTTTGTAGAAAGAGTCCTCCTGTATTAAATGGGCTACCTTGAATAAATGGTCATTTCTGCACAATGAACGCGTGTGATTTTAAGGCCATGTGACAATAAACAGAAGAAACACTCAAAAGACAACGCAGTGAATAATAAAAAAATTCCCAGATTCAAACATAGCGATAAAACGGAGATGATGAACAGGAATGAAAAGTAGTGACGAGATTCCTCTCAAACATTTCAAGTACAGTACAAAGAAGGCTTCTTTTGTGTGAACAGGAAAATTAGAGTTTCAATTATATTTTCATTTACCTGCCTCAGATCGGCGGAGGTACTCAAATCAAAGATGTTACTGTGTGCAGATGGCAGGAAAAACTTTTGCTGGGTTTTCTAATTTTTCCACTTATTTTGGCTTTTTCAGCATTATTATTTTACGCTATGAGTCGCTTTTCCGTTTTGTTTGGTCCAATTTTGATTAAATTGTGTTGTGCTAGGTTGAGCATGTGCCAGGTAATTTTCGCTTCAGTGAAGTTAGTTAATCTTCTTTGGAATACAGTATGTTCAGCTTTGAAACACAATCAAGTTCCAGCTTTTCCAAGCACTTACTAGTCAGACAAATCGGACTACTCGAAACAGCTATTCAAGCTAGCCTCAACAACTTCGAAAAGAACTAGACTCAAGCCAATAGTACGCAACTTAGACAATACGGTTTTTTCGTCGGGTAAGGACGCTACTGTATTCCACAGCGATGGATCTAGTTTGAAGTTAGGGGGAACTCTTCTTTATTTTTAATTGGCGTGGAGACGAGATTGATGAAGCTTTTGTAAAGGATTATTGGGACGTCCTGCGCTTTAGTCTTCGGTTTTTTTTTCCCCTGCCGACCCCAGATGTGGGAACTGCAGTGTATACTTTTCAGACGAGTGAAGGAGACCGAAAGGAATGGGAGGTTCACCGAAGCTGTGTGGGTAGAAAAATGAGTCTTGCTACTCCGTCATCTCAGCTATTCATTTCCCCATACCGTCGACGACTCGAGGTTTTTTTGTTTGTTTGTTTCCTTTGAATCGGATTTTGCGGATTCCGTCACGCTGATAAGTCGACGGGGCGACGTTGACAACAAGTGGCTTTTATCCCGACTCGAGTGGCTTCCTGCATTAGCGTTAATGAACTTTATCCAGTTGCTGGTGGGCCGGAAGCAGGGGCGGGGACTACACCCAAAGCCACTTACCACGACGGCACCCCCTCTATAAGGGTTAGGCAAGACAGTAGACCAGGCAATACCCTGTAGTTAAGGGACAGTCCGCACAAAGGGAAGCAAGTAAGCAAGGAGGGTTCCCTCACTGTCCCCTTTTTACACGGTGGAGTCGGGCCTTGTTCATGAAATGTTATACAGTAGATGGATTGGCGGGGTTAAGGATGAGGAAAGCGTATTCTCGGATGTGGGGCTTGATTTTCTGACCTGGAATGTCCTGAAGAACGATGGAATCTTTGCGGACACTCTCCAGGTTTTTTCTTCACTCCATTTTTATCATTACTTTTTTTTTTTTTTTAGATTCTCGAGTTGGTATGCGAACGTGAATTTATGCAAGGATTCGAATCTTTTCTGCTTTGTCAGTCGTACAGGTCGCAAAATCGAACCCGAATTGGAATTTCGTTTTTCTTTTTTGCTTCTGCATACCAGGCGAAATACGGTTTCGTTTATTCAAGCACTGTACAGTATTTAAACTATCTCTACTTAAATTTTCTACATAAAAAAAAGCTTTGAAAATAAGGCATTCCTCGGGAGATCAACGAGATCTTTTGTAAATTTCGAGGATCAGGTTGAATTCTAGGATAATTCACATACTACGAAAATCTACGCGTAATTAATATTTAGGGAAAATTAAATTTTCTACGCTTGAGAAATGAACCTAAAGTTAAGTAAAACGAAAATTTTAAAAATCCCTTTCTATTTGAAAATTCTAAAAATAGAGAACATTTCCTAATTTCATGACAATCGATCCCCGAATTGGAAATAAAAAATCGGATTACAATTTAATTCAAAGGTAAATCAAGCTCCTGAATAACTTCGAGTTCCTTCTTTTTTTCTTCTAATTGCGCATGCCTTCAATAATCCGTACTTTTTACAGCTTATTACACTGGTTACTTTTTGTATTATCGTCTGTTTTTTTCTTTCTCTTTTTCTCCGCTCATTTTCTTCATTTTACCCGTGTATGATTTTATTTTTATTTTACTCTGAAACAAAATTTTAACAAATTTCCATTTGTAAATGTGGAAAATGTTTCCGCACATGAAGAAAGCTTTGATCAACGAACGAAACACTGGAATGGATTATGTTCGTTGGTGAAGGTCTTACTGTGTACGGGAATACTTAGTGGATAAGTCGGCTTTGGTTTAGTGAAAGGTGTGCGGTTATTTATGAGTACTTCATTTGCAAAACCTAAGCTGATCGAGGCTGTTCGAAAGTTTTTCTTTCGATGGAGTACCTTGAAATGCCCATTTTCGGACTTGAATGAACAATCCGACCTAAAGCACGTCCACGTTCATTTTTTTTCCCGGGGTTTGTTCGATTTCAAACTTGACTTCGGCTACTTATTTATTTCTCTCTAAATCTTGAAGCTACTGCAGCACCATTTTTGGTATCAACAGCTCAAAAATTTCCGAGGCCAAAACACTTTTTTATGCATTTGAGTTTTTTTTTGCTCATCTGAAACCTTTTTCTTACTGAGATATGTTCATTCTGTGGAATAATTCATTGCGCATGGAATTTCTGCAAATACACCAAGCATACAAATGGGGCGTGTGAACATTTTCCTCGCAGTGATGAGATGCTTTGTTGATTTTCAAATCCAGTTGATGGCGATTTTGGTGACTGAAATCTGTACTGGCAAAACTTATGAATCAACCCGCGTGATTCCGCAACAGTCCTCGCGGGTGGGCTGTCAATGTCATTTTCGAATGGCCTGTCTGATTTTCATGAATTGCATAAAATACCTAGAAGCACACTGTAAACTGGCAAAACTTATGAATCAACCCGCGTGATTCCGCAACAGTCCTCGCGGGTGGGCTGTCAATGTCATTTTCGAATGGCCTGTCTGATTTTCATGAATTGCATAAAATACCTAGAAGCACACTGTACAGTACTTTTTTTTTAAAGCCTGCTATATATCTTTCTGGATTGCATTTCGAAGTTCCTCACGGAAAGTGTGCTTGTCTTATATCCCCAGGCCGTCAGTGATGCCGGGGAATACGGACGACGCGTGGCCCACGCACTAGTCGAAGTCACTGTCACTGACATCAATGACAATCGCCCAATGTTTCTCAACTTGCCGTATTACACCGTGATGTCTGTGAGTTCGGAGCAGGGCGATGTTGTCATCCAGGTCAGTCCTCGCCTTTCTTTGTCCTTTTTCCAAAAAAAATTGAGAAAAAAAATTGTGCTGATTTGCTTGAACACGTACGTACACGTTGTGAAAATATTCCGCACAGCTCGAGGCGATCGATTTGGACACAGGAGAGAACGGAAGGATTCGTTACGATCTGGTTAGAGGGGAAGGCGAAATTTTCCGCGTGGAACCTCGGACTGGAAAGGTGGTGCTCAAGAGGGCCTTGGGCTCTGACAGAACCTCGTACGATATCTTGGTTGCCGCCTACGATGGAGGTAAGAAATCTTCTTTCCGCGGGAAACGTCACATTTCTCCGTGACATTTCCAAAGAATTATTTATGTTTTCACGAAATAATTGAGTGAATGAGGAAGGCAAATACACAGGTGTTTTTTCCTTTTGGAGAGAATTTCGTTGTGGAGACAATCACCTGTGAATTTTTTCCTCCTTCACCCAATGATTCAGTTTCGAACGATTTTTCTTCTTTTTTCTGGAGAGGATTTCGTTGTGGAGAAAGTCCACCTGTGTATTTTTTTTTACTCATTCACCCGAACATTTCGTGAAAGCATAAAATAATTCTTTAGGAACGCCCCAGAAATGTGACTCGAAAGTCAAGGGACCATCAATCATCTTGAATCAGTTATCTTGAAATTCAAGGGACCAGAAAAAAAAAATCGTTGTAGAGAGAATTTCATGTGGAAAACTCCTTTAACATGTGGAAAGAAAACTTAATTGACCAGGAAAAAATTGGTTTGAAGAGATTTTTTGTAAGCAAGATCAGTGTAGGGAGAGTTCACATGTATTAAGCAAGCATAGTTTTTAGACTTGCCATCTGTGCTCTGATTTTCTCACAAAGTTGAGGAATAAAAAGAAAACTGCCTGCAGTTGTTCAGAAATTGTATGCATTTTGCCATATGTTTTTAATGTTCCATTCATTTGCAAGTTTTACTCGGATAAAGAAAACTGCATTCCAAGGCCTTCGGTTTTGACACGTTTTCTGACGAACATTTTATCTTCCGAAGCGTGTAAATTGCTGTATTGCTCATTTCAGACCCCTCACGAAAGGAGATTTTGCATAAATTGTTCAGACACGTGGTTGCACTGAAACCGTGTAGTATGAAACTTGTGAAAATTGATCTTACTTTTTAATATACGAATGAATGGAATGTGTGGTGGAGAAAACCCTGGTAGCCAAAGTTTTCTTCCGCAATAATGGCGGAAAAATCTCTTGTTTTTAAAATCGTGGGTAAAATTATGTAAAACTGGAAAGGATTTTTTGATGAACTTCCGTGAGTAGGGAGTTCTCGACGCATTGAAAAGCTTTATACTGTACCTTTTCCTCTTGAAAAAAAAAATATTCAGAAAATAAATGCTCCCTTCACTGCCTGAAATGCAAAACGAAAATTCGGGCCAGTCCTTCAAGTTTAACGTTCGGGATTATTTACGATTATGCTTCCGCAGGAAAAGTTCCGATGTTCGCTGAAACAACTGTGCACATAAAAGTGATGGACCGTCTGATGCCGGTGTTCAATAAGCAATTTTTCAACGCCACCGTGCCTGAAAATGCTGAACCCTACACAGCAGTCATCAATGTCGTGGCGGAATCCCCTCAGGGCAGGAAGCTCATCTACGGAATTTCTCGCGGAAACGAGTATGAAGAATTCGGCTTTGATTTCAACACCGGTGAGTGGACTCCGCATTCCTGCTTTCACCGCCCCTTTTTCTTTTAGCAAAAATAAATACAATGGACAAGAGGGAAAAGGGCTATAGTGTTTTAGTTACGGGAAAAGTAAATTTATTCATTTCTACTCTGAGGAAAGTTGAAGCATTTATAAAATGAAAATTGCTGTATTTCCAAGATTCCTTTGATGATATTTCTCTCGATCGTTTTGTTCAAGGGGTTTCTCTATACCCGTAAAAATAGACGATTGTGGTATCTGATGCATCATGAAGACCGCCTTCTTATTTTTTTGTGGAATGAAAGTGCTGTGATTTTCGGGCTTGGAGAAAAGGAAGTTTTATCGCAACAGAGAGTTTCACTCTGAGAGATGAACGTTTGTCATACTCAAAGCAACCGGGGTGGAAAATGGAAAATATATTTCTCTGCTTTGAAGGATGAGTACATGAGAGTCACGAATATCCGTTTGAGCCTGGGTTGAACTGCCTCAGTTCAATACCCTGTGGTCTGAGGACTTGAATGGTGGGAATGACGACATTATGAGGGTTGACAGAAAAAGTTGCTTGAAAATTGGTAGTTCACATTGCCCACGAGTATAGAAAGAAAAAAAACTGTAATTTTGCTTGTTCTCATCGTCACATCTTAATGATCTATTGTTTCCCTCAGGGAAGAAAAAAATCATACTCCGCGAGCACTTCCTCTGTATATTTTGTTATTCAGTTTTATTACCACAGTGGCTTTATTACAAAATGCAAGAATGTTTTACTAGTTCTTCTGCCTCAAATTTACAATATTTTGATTGCAAGAGAAATGTGACTGGAAATGTCACGTTTCTCCTTCCCGATGATCCGAATTGAACCAAAACTTTCTGAGAGCTTCGGTCCTGCACTGTTGAAACTTTTCCTTTAAAAATACTGTAATTACATTTTGCCAGAGTCGAACGAAGTACTGTACATGTGTATTTCGGCATTTTTTTTTTCGTCTGCGTTGTAATCAATTTAGTAAAAGCGGCTTATGCCTCTGAAACTACTCCCCACCAAACTCCCTCTTCAGTTTCTTTGCTGGATTTGCGACACACTGTGTTGATCAGTCAGAGGGTATAACAGTCAGGGGTTTCATCTTGTAAGAAGCTTTTCCGCGTTACCCCCGGAAGGTTCCTGTTTTTTTTTTTTTTTTTTTTTTTCGTTGGCAGATAATTCACGAAGCTTTGGTTTGAAGCTTGTGGACACGAGTGAAGTATTCAGCATAATTTTGTTCCACGACAAGTTAAAATGCCTCCTTCATCAGCGGCGAAAAAAAAAATTTTTCTCATGATCGGTTGTCCTTACGTTTTTTTTTCCAACGCTATGTCGTAGCAAATCAAAGAACGTTAAATTACTGAACGAGTGGTTCTTCGGGGTCCAATTCTAGTTTTTTGACCGAAATTTGATCATTATATTGAAATTAAAGGTCTTCTTTGAAGCTTATTTCATGTCGATCGGCGAATATTCGTTGCCGAAACAGTTTTATTTTCCTGGTGAAAATCACCCAGCGAGAATCACTCATGTCCTTTGGTTTAATTTAATCAAATGATTTTGCGAGTTTTTGTTTTGTTTTTGTAACTGTTCTAGGTTGCATCTCCAAAGGAGCTCGTTCTGAAACGTTTGATAAAATATGGCATAGTGAAGTTGTTGAACAAAAAAGTTGAAATTAACCTCAGATCATTCTATGTATCGTGTGGTTGGGTAAGTTTCTCCCGAATAGTGCATTTCCTACTGGATGCTGAATATGTGGTTTATGTGCCTATACCTTATGTTGCAGCACCATAGAAAATATATGATTTTTTGACATTTCAAGATTTTCAACGCATTTGTCGTTGAAGAACAATTTTTATCGTCAACGCCTGTTTACAAGTTCAAGCCTTAATTCAAGAGCAACTTGCGAAGTCAATAACTCCTTTATGTAAGATCCAAAACCCGAAGCCAAAGAAGACACGTAATACGACGCAACTTAGAAAGCCTCGTACGGTTCATATATTTTGTCTTTGTATCATATTTCAACTTTTTTCAATTTTCCCGGTTTCTTTCGTTTTTTATCTTGAGGCTTTTTGGAGGATTTGCTTTATTTTGAATCGATTTTCTATGTCTGTTTTTCTCTGATTTATGTCATTTTTCCTGATTTGACCGTAAGAAGATACAAGACCCCTTGACCAGACGGAAGTTAGGACCCAAAAGCAGAGGGCTTTCTGGGCAACGTTGCAAAGCTACCAGGTACACTCATTTCCGTTAACAACGCACCACTTTATATATAAATTAATTTTAGATTGCGAACGAGTTGAGTCACAAGGTTGCACTAACGTCGTTAGCTATGCTAGATGTGTTCCTGGCTGTTGGTATTACTTCCGAGCGCTAAAAACTAACTGCTGAGGCAACATGGCGATGATCTTTTTTTTTTTGCGTGGTAAAACCTGTGTGGAATTGCCGGGGTAACAACCCAGAGGTTGGGGTTTTTCTTTCTCTATGGTTGTCGTGGCTCATTACGAACGGGGGTGTCACTGTTTTCATGTTTTTGTGCGTCGAGTGATGCATTGCGATGTAAAATGTTCCCATGTGTGCGTTGGGAAGAGGAGACGATGGTGATGGGTATCGGGGCAAGAACGCCTTTGTTGATTTTTTCGGAACTGCAGAATAAGGGGGTCCGAAAAGTTGTTCTTGTACTGATAATTTTTCTATGTTTTTCATGACGCTGCCATGCTATTTGTACATAAATTATAGGGCGGTGGAATGTCAGTACAGCAAGTTGTACAGTTTCAAATTTACTCAGAAAAGTTATCCCCGCTTCAATTTTCTTCCTCGATATTTTTTTAGACTTCATAAAACTGCATGGAAGAGAAAATTGGTTATGCTGTGAAAGAAAATTCTTGTAAATAACCGGGGCCAATTTTAAATCTTTCTCGTCGTTCGGAATCGTTTCTCAAACTTCTCGAAATATTGTATTACATACTGATCGATCGAAACCGGTACGTACATCGTGTACGAAAGTTGCCCCAGTTGTACATGGCCTCTGATATTTCTAAAGAAAGTTTAATCATTGAAATGGAAATTTGGTTCCATAAATTCGATGGTTCTTCGATTTTTTGTTGGATTTTTGAAATTAAATTAAATTCGCTGCATGATGATGAGTGAAAACGTTCCAGTTACGGCCAGAGTTCTCCAACCTTGTCACAGGGTGCTGAAAATTTGTCAGGCCAGCAAACAAATAGAAATTTCTTTCTGATTTTCACCATTATCTGAAAAAAATAATGGTTAGATGCCTTTCATCAACAGGGACAACCTTCGTGTATCTTATCGATATCGATCAATGCTCCGAATATATTTTGCCCAACATTTGTAGCATCCAAAAAATGCTGACTCCTACCCTACACAACAACTTTTGGATACTCTATACTGAAAATAATAGAAATTTAAGTTCTATAGAAATCTATTCTGATCACAAATCCTGCTTTCGATGTTCTGAACGAAACTCAAAAATGTCTTTCTTTTCTAATATCTTTTCTCTCTGGGTGTGCTTTTTTTTTCTCTCTTACTTCTTCGCAGCAATGTGGCCGATCCTGAAAGGTGGGAAATAGCGGAGGCTGTCTTCGAATTATTCTTCCTGGTCTGCTTTTGTGCTTGCTTTTTAAATTATGCGAGGCTGCGGGCATTTTTTCCGTGGCCCTCTCTAGGGATTCCTATGTTTAAATGATGCATGGCTGTTGGTGTATATAGGAAGGGATTGAAAAAAAAAAGAGGAACGCTTTCCTTTAAAAATGCCCGATGTTCCCGATATAGTGGAGCGAGTTCCTTTAAATCGCGCTGCATTGATATCAATTCTCGCACTGCTGCTGCTTGTCCTGCGTTTTGACGTTGTGTGATGACCCACAGTCTGAGTCCGGAGTGTCGTTATTTTCCGAAAAGAGCTCGGTTGAAACAGACGAATGCGAGAAACGGAAATTCGACTTCACTCGGACAATTTTCCTCCGTCTTTTCGTAATGCTGAAGGATTGCCTGGATTTTAGTTCAGAGTTCCGGAAAATTGCCCCGTTTTACTTTCGCTTCAGTTTATCTCAAAATCCACTGTGTGCGTGTGTTTTCTGTAATAGTCGTAGAGTTTAGTACTGTACAATACATTACAGTACTGGGTTTCTATTTATTTGGCTGCTTGATCATTAAATACAGCATCTGTTGTATGAAGATCAGTTTTGAAAGCCTTGCAATTTTTCTCGTTTATCGTAAATCCTATCTCAAGCAAGATATCCAGGGATTAATCGTCTGAGAATTCCACTACATTTCTCCGTTTGCTGAAGCTTTTCAATTTTCGACAGCATGGGAAACGCGAGAAAACGAATATTTCGTTTTCTAGACTTGTGGCTTTCGTTCACAATTTTTTTTCTTATCGCTTATGGTTCATTTTATGAATTATTTTTCCTTTGCTTCATTTAGTGATCTTAGTGCTGGCGAGCTGCACATTTTTTCGTACGTGTGTCACTATAGGCAATAGATGATGATGGATTTGCATGGAATGATGCGTATTTCGTGGAGGGATCCTTTACTCATCCCTGTTCTTGTTGCAATTTTTGAAGGCTCGATCTTCGTGGGAGATGCCTTGGATTACGAACTCAAGTCGGAGTACGAGCTGTATTTGCGGGCAAGTGACAGCGTGAGTGGAGCCTATTCCGAGGTCCCAGTCAACATTCGCGTCACTGACGTCAACGACAACCCTCCGGTGTTTTCCAAGCTGTCGTACGAAGCGTCGGTGTCGGAGCTGAGAGCAGTGGGTGCCGAGATCCTGAAGGTTCAAGCCAGTGATCGAGACGAAGGTGAGTTATGCGCCTCGTGTGCCGTTTCTCGTATATATTTACCTTGCCTCGCGGGTGTCCGCGTGGGAATGCTTTGCTCGGAATAATTTGCATGCCGCTGCTCTCATTAGCTGTCTTTTGAGGCGGAACCCCCTCGAGTCTTCCCATGCGGAGACGAGGTGCTGGTTGATTCGGGAGCCGAGATGAATGATCTGCCTTCCTTTTTTAATTTTTGGTACCAGTTTTTGCGGTGTAGTTGGTACACGGAGGAAAAAAAATAGAAAATAAGTCAATACCACCTATCGTATTTCTGTTCAGGGAGTGTGAGGAATTAGGTTTGTCTTTTTTTTTTACCGAGCTGAAGTACATTACCTTTCGAGGTTGATTCAATTTTGACTAAAGATTAGCTTTTCATGCAGGAATTTTTTTTAAATTAAATTCTTTTTTGAATACAGTATTTTTTGTTGAAGTCAAGCAGAACAATTTCTCGAATAATCTTAGCTCATGAATTGATGACCCACAGTCTGATATTAGTCAGGTGTTGAACCTGAATTTCTATCATTGCCTTTACATTTTTAAATACTGCACTTTTTCACAATTGGTAAATACCGCATTTACTAACCACGCGCACCTTTTTTTTAAATTGAGAAAAATGGGGGTGCGCATCATAGGTGGGTATGAATTTTTCAAAATGTTTCAGAAGTTTAGGTGTGCATTATGCATGATTATAATGACAAATTATTGACCGATTTTATCAAAAACAGTTTTTTATGGGAACTACTGAAATCAGTTGAAATTCAGGCTCAATTCATGTCGGAATTAAACTTTGGAAATTTAGACATGGATTATTTCCGAAATATTGCAGTTTTAGAGTCCCATAAACGGGGTGCACGTCTTGCTCGACGGATTTACAATTCTGGGAAAATTGTAGACTGCAAAAACTGGCAGCTGGGCGTGGTACACTATACTAGCGTAAATGCGATAACTCACCGCATAATACGCATGCTTAGACAAATTATGCGATATTTGAATTAAAATATTCACAGATGAAGCATGAAATGTTAATCGTCTTTCACAAAATCCAGTGGAGCATCAGATGACTCGCATACTTTCCTCCCGTCTGTTGGAACTTATTTAACTCTCTGCTGTGATCACTGTCGTCGAATTCGTTTGCTGTTTCAGCGATGAACTTGCATTTTTCATCGTAACGATTTAATGTTAAGGTGTTCGATTAAGCATTTTATTTACTCGACGGGGATTTTATGTCTTCATTTCTCATCTGTTGCGTGCTGATGCATGAACATGAATGAACTTTTTTCAACCTTTTGTTAGTCAACGGTGTGGAAGTAATCAAAATGAGCAGTTGAAAGCGGAAGCAGGTTACCCTGACGAAGTTCGGAGGAGGTGATAAATGGGTACTGAACAGCGTTCGTACATGTTCTCTTTCAGGCATGAACGGGGCCTTTCGTTACTCGCTTGAAGACATCTCTCTGGATGCCAACTCCACGACTTGGTTCCGCGTGAATCCAATTACAGGCTTAATCACGTTGTCCCGTCCGTTGGACCACGAGCGCATGCCTGTGCACAGGTATACTATTCACGTGTACTACTTTAAATTTTTGTATAAAACGGATAGTTACCGAAAATATCGCGGGTTTGAAATGAAGCGGGAATTTTCTAATTTGAACGAAATATGTCGCATGAGTAGAGCTCGTCAGAATATATTGATTTTGACCCTCTCCAGCAGCAAAAAAAAAAAATTCCCCTACATCAGTTCGCGGTATAGCATCCAAAATGCTATTCTACGGATTGGTCCAATCTTTGCGCCACTTCAATTAATTTTGTGTTGATCACTACTATTGTATTTCCCGGATTTTTGATTTCTTGAAGAATATGCATTTCTCAGAATCTTTCCGCCGAAGCATAACTGAAGTATGCGGATGTAATCGGGGCTTGGGCCTTGTCCCAATGTCGGATCGTCCTCATGTCGAATCTCATTTTCCCGTAGACTCGATGCAAACATACTGTATTTGCTTGGTTCTCCTGTTTATCAAACGTTTGGAATTCCTCAAAAATGTAATGAAAATTGTTTCTCCCAACATCAAGTTACTGAAAACAAGAAATTTCCAGAAGAGGACCACATAGAATCTGATACTCTGGCATTGAAAGGAGCTCAAAACTCAAAAGGAAAGAACAAGAATAATTCTTCCTACAGTATTATGTGCACAGATGAAAGAAATAACTCTGAAAAAGAAAAACGAAATCAGCCTATTTTTGATCATGGATTAGAGTAGAAGTTATGATGAAATGTAATTTCAATTTTTTAATATTAATAACTCAATTGCTCGAAAGATTCCATGATTTTAAAAATAAATTGTTTCGATTTTTCTGGAAAACTTCGGCGTAGTATACCTATCTGGAGCCATCAATTTTGGTATAATCGTACATTATTGAAGCATTGTAGTAATATAATCTATTCAAATTTCCCGACGGTAGAACCATTATTCATTCTATAGTACAGTACTGTTACTGTATACTGAATATGTGTGCTTTCAGATTTCATGCTGTAGCGACGGATTCTGGAATGCCAGCCCTTTCGAGCTCCGTCACGGTTTGGGTCACAGGTGAGAATGGCATTTCCAAGCGATTTTGAAAAGCCCTTCAAACAGTTTGAGGTCATGTTGAGTGCACTCCTTTTTTTCTTCTTTCTATAGTCGACGATGTGAATGACAACCCGCCGGTGTTCGAGAAGAAATCGTACACGAGCATGTTGTTGGAGAATGCGGAACGAGGACAGTTCGTGACGAAGGTGACTGCCTTCGACATCGATGACTCCGATGTAGGGAATCTCAAGTATTCCATTATCGAAGGCAACAATGCGCAAACATTTCTGATAGACAGAACGACCGGTGAGTGTTCTCAGTGTCTAAAAAAAAAAAAAAAAAAAAAAAAAAGACTCGTCACGCCATGCTGTGTTGATGGGAACTAAAACATTACATGCTGTCATTCTCTTCTTGTAACTTCCAGCACGATCTCTGCTTCTCCCTTTTTTTAAATGGTCACGATGAAAACGATTGCGTCTTCTGTGGCAAAATGTTCTTCCGTATATATTGGTCAATATTTTGCTGTATCTTTCCGAAATTTCCTTCAAATTGTCTTTCCGAGTAATGCTTGAAGTCGGAGATGGTTTTTTTTTTACCTTTTGAACGTTTCATATGCACAGTTTTCTGCGAAAATTTCTCATCTTGGCTTAGAAAATTTCACTCGTATCACTTGAAAGTTGAAACTGAGTGACGAATAACAAAATTCATTACATTGTAGTGTCTGGGTTATTTTCGTCATGTATATTTTTTCCTTTTTCTTCACAATCCGGCTTCATCATGTTTTAACTGATTCGAATTTCGTCGCATTGACTCGATAAATTTTGGGCAGGAAGGATGTCTGAATAAGTTATGAATTGATGAGTTCCCAAATAATCGTGATCCAGTTGAGCCCATATAGTATCGTAGGCTGCATGGCTCAACCAATTCGTAAATGAACTCGATGAAATATACTATCGCAGTAATCAGACGAAACCTGTCGTGGCTCAGAAAAAGTAACGTGGGAGTCGACCGTTCGTGCAAAAAACTGGAACTTTCGTATTGATTTTCATGCCTCTTTTCCGCAGGTGTCGTTCGTTTGAAGAATGTGCAGAAATTCAAGAACACAACGAGCTATGTACTGAATGTGTCGGCAACCGATGGGGTATTTACTTGCTACGCGAGGCTTCAGATCGACCTGCTGTCCGCAAATAAACACGAGCCGCGATTCTCTCGGTCCTCTTATGACGCCAACGTTGCGGAAAACGTTCCGTCCGGAACATCTGTACTGCAAGTGAAGGCCTTCGATGAGGACCACGGGGAATTCGGGTCCATCACCTATTCCATAGAGTCTGATATTATGCGAGAAAAATTCAAGATCGACGCTCAAACAGGTCCGTTTTTTTTCAGAGGCAGCATTTTTTTCAAGTACCGATTGCATTTCTGATGATGTCGTTGTGGTTTATGTATTCCTTCTTGCTCCAGGCGAAATACGCACGCGACAGCAACTCGACAGAGAAGAGCAGGACATGTACCATATTCCAATCGTTGCGACCGACAGTGGTGCGAAAAGGGGCTATGCGACCGTTCATGTGAATGTCACTGACGTCAACGACAACATACCGAAGTTTCAAGCGTATAAGTACATTGCGAGCATTCATGCCAACGCCACAGAAGGCTCCATGGTTGCCAAGGTTCGTGCTGTCTGCTGATGAATGATTTTTTTTTGCATAGTTCAACAAGATATTATTTTTGTGTGTGCCAATTGCAGGTAATGGCGACAGATGCAGATGTTGGAGCCAGTGGAACGATCGAATATTCGTTGTACGAATCTGACACAGTAATTAGGGCTTCGTCGATTTTCGGTGTCCATGCAGCAACCGGGGAAATATTCTTACGTAAACCAGTGGATGGTTTTGGTACGACTCCTATTGACGATCCTAAAATTCATGACGTTTAATTTTGGTATTTTTCGCTCGTGTCAAGACAATGAAGTGTTCCAGTTCTTTGTGAGGGCAAGAGACAATGGCATTCCATCGCTTCACGCAGATGTTCCGGTTGATGTAGTAATAATGGATGAATTGGACACGCCACCGACCTTCGAGAAACGGCATTTGGAATTTTTCATTTCAGAACGAGATGATGTTGGTGAGTGAAATATTTTCAAACTTTACTGAGAATGCCACAGAACTCAAATCTTCAGTTTTAAAATACAGTACAGTATATTCATGATTTTGTTTCGTCCCCTTATTTTTACAGGTACTCTTGTTGCCCAATTGAAAGCTACGTCGAACTCGACAGTTCTGTACGAATTGTTGACAGCGGATGCTCGCGAGAAATCGAGTGTCTTCCGAGTAGATCAGGACGGGCGGATAATTGTGAATCAGAAACCGAATCGAGAAGAAAAAGATTCATATGCCCTGACAATTTTGGCTTTGACGGAATCAACACCGCCATTAACAGCTATGGTAGACGTAACAGTCAAGATAATGGACGAGAATGACAACGCACCCGAGTTCCAAAGCGTACCATATCACGTAACTGTGGCTGAAAGTATCGACATCGGCGGCACGGTTTTACGAGGTTTGTCGGACTTCATGCGTGATGTCGTTCTTTTTTTATTCCAATACGGCAATACCGAATCAATGCAATCAATAAAATATTGCGCTGCACCACTTTTAGCGATCAGCATTAATTTTGCGAAACGACTGAGAATATTGATTCCGCGTTGAGGGATAATTATTTAAAATTTGAAATGACTTATAAAATTTTACAAAATTTTAATTACTACCACAACTTCCTCTGAAAAACTTTCAGTCGTTCAGCTTTCGTCGAGTTTCTGTGGTAAGTTCGTTATGCATTATAACTACGACGATGGACAGTCGATTAGACATTTCCAGACTCTTAATTATCTGCAACACGGCATGTACGGATAACTTGCATTATAATGCGACTTTAAAAAGACAAGACTGAGAATTTTATTTTTTAGTTGAAAATATTTTTCTATTTCTCAGCATCATACAAAAAATCGGTGCATTTCTGTGACCTCAAGAATTTAAAAATCCATTGATATATTATTGAATGTCTCATTAATTCTTTTGTTGATCTAGATATTTTTCTCGTTTTTTCAACCCTCCACAATAAGCAAAGCTCGTGTATGATACTACAGTATTTGTTTTTTCAAATCTTTGATAATGGAAAAATCAACGACGTGATTTTCTCTTCGATTTGCAGTATCTGCTCATGACGCTGACGCTAGCGCGGAAATTCGATACAGCTTGGAATCCGCTGGCGATCTCAAGGAATTGCTGCCCATCACCAGTGTCTTCAGCATTGATCCTTACTCCGGCGTAATTACCACTCTCGTGCCGCTGGACAGGGAAACCGTGTCTGAATACCGACTCAACGTTATTGCTTCGGACAATGGCAGTCCTCCATTAACTGCTGCAACGCAAATCTATATCGACGTTATGGATTATAATGACAACCCTCCGATTTTCACAGAGGATCCCTATTACACATCTGGTAAGAGGCTCATTCCCATTGAGTTATCGATGATGCGTGTTCTTCAGAATGTCTATGACTTCCATAATTCGCGCGGAATAAGCTTCAGTCGAATTGATTTTTTCATCGGAGATCGCGTCATTCAATTCAGCGGAGAACCCCAATCAACTGAGATGATGCTTATTCACCAGAGTATGATTTTTCCACTTCTCAGCTTCTTAGCGGATCGTTGTTTTCCATTGTTGAATTTAATTCAGTGAATGCGTATTTATTCTTTTGCTCCGTTGCAGTCAGCGAAGATGTTGAAATCGGAACATCCATAATGAAGCTAAGGGTGCAAGACGCCGACGCACTTGAATCTCCTTACCTTCAATTCTTCATCACTGATGGTGACAAAGCAGGGAAATTCGGAATTACGACTGATGGAGATGTTATCATTCGTGGTCGCCTGGACAGAGAAACATTGAACCATTATGATCTTGGCATAACAGTGACCGATGGAGTTTTTGTCGCTGAATCCAGGGTAGCAGTTGAAGTCATTGATTCGAATGGTGAGATCAATATCTAGCTTTTTGAAATTTCATTTTTTTCTTGAAATTAACGCTTGCTCTACACGGGTGTGATCTGTGTACGTATCAAACTATGTTTTTGGATTTCCGGGCAGTGCTGATAATCGATCGAAGAATAGCTTTGAGAAATTTTGTATCGGTGCATGTCTGCCCAAATTACCGCACATAATTCTGGAAAGAATCTAATAAAAGTTTTGAAACTTTTCTGCTGTTATAGATAATCCTCCAGTCTGCAAAAAACCGCGCTATGTTGAAAGCTTGTCCGAAGCGACACCGATCGGATCGTACATCTTGACTGTCGCTGCTTCAGACAAGGACGAAGGCCAGAACGCGAAATTGAACTACTTCTTGAGTGGAATTGGAGCTGAATCCTTCATCTTGGACATGAATTCAGGTACCGAATAGAATTTGCCGAGACCGATCAATATGGAGCATACCTGTTCAATAAATCTTTGGATTTGTTAAAGGTATCCTGAAAACTGGTTCACCGCTCGATCGGGAGACACAGGGTCTATACAAATTAGTTGCACATGTTCGAGACGCAAAGTCGAAGGCATGGGAATGCACTTCAGAAATTGAAATCAGTTTGACGGACGTCAATGATAATTCGCCGGTGTTCTCTCAGAGGAAGTACTCGGTCACGGTTGATGAAAATGTGGATGTTCGGTCTTTGATCACGAAAGTTCATGCGTCGGATGCTGACCTGGGTACGTCGAAGATCTCATTTTCTGACGATTCTAATCAATTCGTCGTGGATTCATAAAGTCGAATATATTTCAACATTCTAAACATCTGCGTAGGAATCAACAAAAAGATTCAGTACATGTTCGTCGGACAAGCATACGGGCAGTTCGCCATTGATTCCGCAAGTGGCTTGGTGACACTGGCAAAACCGCTGGATCGAGAACTGCAAGCGATGTACAATCTAACAATTCAAGCTGTCGATCAGGGAACTCCTCAGCTGACGGCTGAGGCTTCGATTATTGTGATTGTTCGCGACATCAACGATAATCCGCCGGAATTTGAGAACAAGTATTACCACGTGTCTGTCCCGGAAACTGCGATTGTCGGAATGGATGTCGTTAAAGTTTGGGCAACCTCGAAGGATCTGGGTGTGAATGCGGAGGTCAGCTATTCTATTATTGGAGGAAATGAGCACAAAAAGTTCAGCATTCATCCAAAATCAGGTTTGTTGATTTTATTTGAATACGAGTATGCAGTACGTGCGAAACATGCTTCAATGCATTCGAAATCTTTTATCAGGAGCAATCGTTATTTCGGACGTGTTGGACTACGAGCGAGCAAAAGAGTATTTCCTGACGATCGAAGCAATCGATGGCGGCAGCCCACCATTGACAAATCATGCGTCCGTGAATATTACAATACAGGATGCGAACGACAATGCTCCGATGTTCAGCCAGACATCGTACAGTGCTGTTTTACCAGAGGACGTGAACATCGGATACATGGCGATTCAGGTAAATGAAAAAGATATGCTGACTGTATCACTTCGAAATGGGTATTTAACGCCTTTAACTTCCGACTTATCCACTAAAGAGAGCTCTACCTTTAATAAAGTCAAACCTCTTGTAAGTTAAATCCAAGGGACCAAGAAAGAAGTTCGACTTAAGGAATACTGATTTAGGGAAACAAGCCTTTTTTTGTATAGGAGCATTTTTGAAATAATTACTGGAAGGTACAAGTTTGATCTGCTGGGGCTTGAACTGCTGGATAGATGAGATATATGATGCTGAGCTTCAAAATACGAGTACAATTGCCCAATTATTCCTGGTGCTGATTAGCTTTAAAACACGAGCCCAGTTGCCCAATTAGACATTCACCTCCTCCCAAAAAATTATAATCTAATTAGATATTCGTTGCTCTTCAGAAAAGCCAGCCTTTTTGTAGGAAAAATGTTGAAATAATTTTTGAAAATGAAAAATATTCTTATTTGAATTTTCACTGCTCTTATATTTCCTTTTGAACCCAGGATAATAGCACAATGAGAGGAAACATTCTAGTTGCAAAGGTTTGATTGAAAAGCCTATTAGGGAGGTTTCGATGACATTGTTCTCAAGAGTATTCAAACATGCAGGACAAGAATAAAAATTCCACGTTGAAGCGATTTCGACGTGGAGGTTCGACGAGTTATCAATGTTGAACTGTATTAATATTAAGGATCGTTAATGGACTCAGCTCCTTTTTTTTTATGACTTTGGTCAGCATATTCGATTCAAGACGTGTTCATTGTTTTTCTTTTCGGTTATTGAAATAACCAATCTTTTCTTCATTTTTATTTTGACGAGACCCGAGTTTTCCTGAGAAATCGACTACTAAAAATTACTTTTTTTTGTCTCACCTATTGTAGGTTGTGGCTACTGATTTGGACAGTGGAATCAACAGCGAACTATCTTACAACATCACGAGTGGGAATGATTTCGGCCATTTCATGATCAATTCATCAACTGGAGTAGTCTTTGTAAGCCGACGCTTAGACAGAGAAATGGTGAGTCCAACCTCTGGGTAAAAATTAAGTTGTCCGTACAATACAGTACAACCTACTCGTATTTTTTCAGGTTTCGTCCTACAAAATGCGAGTTGGAGCATTCGATAATGGATATCCGCAGAGAGGAACGAAAGTGGATGTAGTGATCGAAGTAACTGACGTCAATGATTGCCCGCCGCTGTTCTCTGCGATGAACCAGACCGCAATCGTTCAAGTATGCATAAACACGCTGTACTTTCCGTATTTATCTCTGATGATAAGCCTGTTTCAAGTTATTTCCTTCAGGGCAAATATTTACTCACAGTCATGATTACGCGAAACTCTCACGATCCGTAGTGTACATATCTTTGCCGTGTCCGCTTTCGGCAATTAAGCATTCTGTGAAGGCTCGTGATACATTAATTTTTTTTCCTACTTTCCATGTGATCTTCTGGAATTCAGAAAAAAGGAGTAGTATTCTATTTCATAAAAATTAAACTTAGACTATCGAATTTTGGTGATTTAAAAAAAAGCTCATGTTCTTTACTAACGTTAGTATCTAAGGCATTAGCTTGATCATTCTATTGTACGTTTATCGAGGAAGTTACATCTTTTCATGCATCACGAACGGGATTTGCTCCATTCATTTGTACAGGAAAACAAACCGATTGGCTTCACGATCATGAAATTTTTGGTCACGGATGCGGATGATCCCCCGAATGCAGGACCGTACACGTTTGACATTCAAGACGACGAGTCCGCATTTAGTATTCAAGACGGAGTTCTGAAGACTGCTGTTAAATTTAGTCACAGCGTGAAAGACAAATACTTGCTGCGTGTTCGAGTTTATGACAATGGTACTCCACCACTGTCTTCCGAATCTTGGATAACCGTGAAGGTGAGTAGAGTGCCTCTTCAAGTGCTTCTGTATTTCCCCTTCGGATTTGCGCTTTGGCTCTGTTTTGGATCGGACTAAGCTTACCTGAAAATAAGGGCATGTCCAGTTTCGGTTTCGAACTTCAGATCGCAAGAAAGAACGTGACTAGTAGATAGCTACTGATTTATTTATTCGTCTTTTATCATAAAAAGAGCTCTCGATTTTTATTTTGAAGAGCGGTTAGCTAATGATTTGAGTGAATTTTTGAATCTGAGCTTTTCGTTGGAATAAGTCCATGGTTGAACATTTTCAAAGTAATCCACCCTCGACGTGCTGTGTTCTAAAATGCTGTTTATTTTATTTTTTTTAGATCATTCAAGAATCTCAGTATCCGCCTCTGATCATGCCCATCAACGTGAGGATAACAGCGTATCAAGACAGCTTTCCCGGAGGTCAAATCGGCCGAGTGAAAGCAACTGACCAGGATCCTTACGACAAGCTGGAGTACGCATTGCCCGAAAATACACGATTGTTTGAGGTGGACAAAGACAACGGCACGCTTTTTGCATACGCTGGTCTGGACGATGGCGAATACTTGCTGAACATCACTGTGACGGATGGGAAATTTTCTGCCGTTTCCCAGGCTGTGGTTTCGGTGTCTTTGGTCACTGACGATATGCTGGAAAAAAGCATGATGTTGACGTTAGGTCCAGTGAAGCCGGAAGACTTCGTGTTGACCTATCAAAAGAATTTTGAACGCGGAATCCGAGGTATTTTGGATGTACGTCGCCGTGATGTTCGAATTTTGAGCATTCAGCCAGCTCGTGGGAACCGGGCTCGTCGGTCGCCGGAAATCGACGATTTCATCGAAATTCTTTTTGCCGTGTCGAAGCCCGACGAAGGATTCTACTCGGTTGACGTGATTCGCAAAGAACTGAAGTCGAAGATGCGAATGTTCGAGACAATGTTGGGTCTTCAAGTGGCGAAAGTGGAGGAAAATTTGTGCACTGTTGCTGGTGGAGATAATTGCGTTCCAGACAATGGAAAGTGCGCTGATCGAATGGTACTGAATGAGGCTAAGGTTATTCCGATTGCAACTGACGTTATGAGCTTCGTCTCGCCTGAACATCGACATGTGAAGGAATGCGTTTGCAAGCCAGGTTTTGCTGGTGAGTTCAGCACATTCATTCTTTTTGTTTAATGAAATATTTGTCGTTCCTTCCGTGTTTTCAACAGTAATTAGTTTTACTGAAGATCCTTAAACGCTGCTGGGAGAAATTTGCAATTCGTTTGATAGATTCGCTTGCTTTTGTTTTTCGCGACGACGAAGTAGATCTAAATAGAGTAGATGTCACTGTCATTTACACTAATCACATTCGATTTTTTTCTGAAATCACAAGGAGAATCTGCCTCTTATTCCTGATCCTGAAGTTGAATTTCTGAAGTAGCGCGAATTTTTATCGAATCCCGAGGAACGATTTTTTCGAATTTACCAGTTGACGAGTTTCATGATTCGAGTTTGGGCGTTCTCATCTTACAGGTGAACGTTGCGAAATTATTGCGAACAAGTGTGCTCAAGACCCTTGCCCGTCATTCAAAGTTTGCGTCCCGGATGCGACTTCCAAGGGTTATTCTTGTCAATGCGCGAGAGGTTACACGGGTCCTCGATGTGACATGCAGGCGTCCATGTGCCGAGGTCAGGACTGCTACCACCCCCGAAGACCGTTTTCTTTCGATGGTCAGGGATTCGCTGTTTATGCCCTGATGGGCTTGAGATCTGTTGCCATTGATTTGAACATCAACTTGCACTTCAAGACGCTTTTCCCCACGGGCAATCTGATGTATGCGGCCGGTCGAATAGACTACAGTATTCTTGAGGTATGAATTTTGTGTGGCAAAAAATTTCTTGAGTTAATCAAGCGTACTTCTGCTTGAATCGATACATTTTCCAGGCGTGGAAATTTGACTCATGTTTTTTTTTTATAAGGTGGTGAACGGATTTCTGCAATATCGATTCGAATGCGGAAGCGGCGAAGGTGTCGCTAAAATTTCCTCTCGGAGGGTCGATGATGGCATGTGGCATTACGTGAAATTGAAAAGAAGCGGGAAAGCTGCTGAACTGGTGCTTGACGAGACGCATCGTGCCTCTGGAGTTTCACCGGGAAAGAATGAGATCATCAACTTGGAAACGCATACCATTTACTTTGGGGCTGAGGTGAGCATGATTCTTTGTCGTTTCCAAAAAGGAAGTCTCGGGACTTTCCAAGATAATAAATGCCTAAAACATTTTCTCACTAAATTTGAAAATGCATGGCTCAAAAGATCGCGCATAAACTTGACATCTCTTATGGCTTTAAGAGATGTCAATCGAATTCTGAAAGATTCAGTCATTCAGAATACGGAAGTCTGAATAAATTTCGTCTGTGCGCATGCACAGTACTCCAACTTGCCACTTTTTATTGTACGCGAAGAACCTCGACTTTTTTGAATTATGTAATGTGAGTCATGAAATTGACGAGGTTTAATTCGGATTCTCGACGTGCTTAGCGGGAAGATAGATCGAATTTATCTTCTTTGTAGATAAGGTTTTTTTAATCTCTTCTTCTCCTTACGTACGTCGTGTGCGTGGACGAAATTCCAAAAATAACCTAGAACCAGCATTACTGCGCAATCCATGTAAACTTGTAAGGAAAGGTCTGATCCTTCTTCGGACTGAGAAAAAATTCCGAAATGAACTAGGAAAAAATAATTGAAATCTTCACCAGCAGTGAGGAAGATCTGGTCTCGACCAAACGCTGTAGATGTACATATTTTTGGTCTGAGGCTCTGTATGATCCTATTTCAAGAAGTTATTCCTGGGTGCAAAATGGAGCTCATCTGAGCATTATCTCGGAGTCAGGAAAATTATCCAGTGTATTCGAGGCCGTCTGATATTTGCAGGCTTATACTGCACGTGTAATTCGCAAGGTAAGCACTACAGCGTTACTTCCGGGGATCAATTGACGGAAGAAGCTTAATTGTACTGTACCTTCATTTTGTTCGTTTCTCGAAAAGTTACTGATGCATCTGGATTATCTTGCATTTCCGTGCATAGGTTCGAGAACCAAAAGCTGTGGGCAAAAACGTGGAATTGGACATTCGGATGGGTTTCTCCGGTTGCATGGACGATATTATGCTGGAACACGTGGCACTGCCGACGCGAGTCGGGGGAAGCAACGATGCTGCCACTTTGTCCCAAATCCGAGGCATTGATTACGGTTGCTCTAGCCTTCGAAAGGTGCCGGGACCCTGTGGATCACAGCCGTGTATGAATGGGGGATCTTGTGTGGAACGTCCCTCGGGGCAAGGTGGGGGATTCGCGTGTTTGTGTCGGGACCGGTTTCACGGGCGTCAGTGCGAAATCGATCGGGATCCTTGCGCGGATTACCCGTGTCTTCACGGTGGAACCTGTACCAGCGACGGGAACGAATTCCGCTGTGATTGTCCGGCGGGTTTAACTGGGCATCGCTGTGATTATGGTCGGTTTTGTAATCCGAATCCGTGCAAGAATCGAGGTTGGTGCGAAGAAGGCCTGTCGAGCGCTGTGTGTCAGTGTCGGGGTTTCACCGGAACCAACTGCGAGGTCGATGTGGACGAGTGCTTGCAAAACCCCTGCGCGAGTGGGTCGACTTGCGTCAACACTCAAGGCAGCTTTCGATGCTTGTGTCCCCAAAATACTACTGGTGAGCGTTTTTTTTTTGCATTCTTCTGCTGTGCATGATAAATTCGATTCTTCCTGTTGATGCCCGTCTATTCGCAATTTTTACTTCGTCAGAAAGTATCGCCTTCCGCAAATCGAAGAGTCGATCGCAATGAAACCTGTATTTGATCTGCCACAAACCGTACTACAAATCCTAATAAATTATGGATTATCGAGTGTGTGTATAATTCAAAACGTTTTGTAACAGATTTACACTGTGCGTATGTAATTTTATAGATATACAGTAGTGATACTGTGCAATGAAAACATAAGATATATGAAGAAGAAATATCATCAATCAAGTAAACTCCTTTTGGTGACGTCGATTTCAAGAATGACTCCGGATCCAAATTTTGGGCTATATAGTTAAGGATGTATGTCAGATTTCTGTTCAGATTTTAAAAATGTTGTTCAGAATTTGGTGGGATAGCGGTTTTTTGAATTAAAAATCATGAAGATTTTGTGAGTATGCAGCGAGACTCTCCACAGATTTTATTTAACGATTCTATCTATACAGTGCAACGAATTTGTTTGGCCCGCTGCGTTAGTTGTAGAGGAAGTCCACCTGCACCTATAGATTACCGATAACTGATTGAAAGCAATCAAAATGAGCCGATATCCCGCAGAAATGCTCGTTCAGATGTATTGTCGACTATTTCGTCGATTTTATGTGCGTCGAGCCGTCGATCATAACTTCATTTTTCACCGAATTGTCAGACCCCGCTTGCATAGAAATTTATATTTGAGGCAAGTATTCCAAGATGAAGCAGTTTTTGGAAGAAAAAATGTTTACATTTGCAGGTTTCTATTGTGGAGAACGGATGCAGCCAACCAACATCACTTCCACGAAATTTGTGATCTCACTGGAGGAGTTGTTGGGAATCGTCGGAGTCCTTATCATTATTGTGATCTGCATCCTTCTCTGTGTTTGTATCCGAAGACTGCGGGGAAAGCGTGGGTTGCAAAGGAGGCCGTTGGAGAACGGAAATGTTGAAGAACGCAATATGATTCCTTTGTTAATGAAAACCAATGGACAAGAAATCGATTGCATCGGGAATCCGAAAATGAGTAACGTGGACCAAGTTCAATCACAGGTTCGTTTTCATCCCACCTTTTTGAACGTCTTGCGACTTGAGGATTAATATTTCAAATATTAATTAAAAAATTCAAATTTTCTTTTTTTCTTCGAATTATCTTTTTGCGAATTTTCTTCCTAAGGTAAAGTTCTCGTCACTTCAACGATTGACGTCAGTTACCCTAATTGTTATTGTCATTGCATTGGTGACGCCTATATTTTTTAAATATTTTTCTTTCGAAGTCTTTAGTTAGAATCTTCTGCGATTTTTTCGATCAGTTCGAAGTTGGGCAGCTATATTTTGCCACTTAATTTTCAATTTAGTCAGTTTTGTCATTTAGAGACACCTGCCTGGCGTTTCCGTTGATCTGTTGTTGCTCGAATGTTTTTTAAATACAGTATTCCAAACAGAATAGAGATTTTCGAAAATTTGTTCGTCAGTCTCGGAAGCAGTGAGGGAACTTCTGATATCATCGCTGATCGAGTCTGAATGCTTGAAAAGAGCAGACTAGATCGTATACGATTTTTTTCTCGTGTATTTAAAGTTATGCGGTTGGTTTATGCATCTTTTTGAAATTTAATTTCTGTAGACGGCTTTCGTGGCATCATCGCTGCGTCCGGCATCCTACGCTCCTGCCACAACCGACAGCAACCTTTACAATCAGCAGTCGAACCTGAACAATTTCGATACCGTGCGGAGCTATGGGTCCGCTGCTGACGAGCTCGAGATGTACGTCCCACCTCCACCGGACTTTTTGCAGAACCTGAACAACCATGGGCCCAATGGTTCCAGCGTGATCGGGATCTGCCCTGGTCCGTCGTGTTCCCCCCGCGGCGATGGAGTCGAGAACCCGATTGTTTGCAAGCCCTGGCATGTCAACGACCTCGATGCCAACAAGGGTGCATACTACGATAGTCAGAAGATCCGGAATGGTGAGTGCATGTTTTCATATCCCATACTTATCGTGTTCCCGGTACTCAGGTGCATTTTCGACGCCGATAGGATTTCCAGTCTCACGAATATACCGCTGTTTTTCCCCCTTTAAAGAGTCACGTTCTGAAAAAAAAAACACCCAAGATTTTTCAAATCTGAAGCTACGGATGGGTTCAAGGTTTTGCTAGTAGAGTATATGAACGTTATTTTGAAGAATGATGATTCAGCGAGGCTAAATTGTAATTTGGAAAAATGTTCTCAGTTTTCATTCTGAAAATTGAAATCTGTCGGAAAGTTCTCGATACGAGTGGACTCTCTCCGATCTTGTCTATAACAATTTTTTTCAGGAGAACGTATTTGTTCTGGTCCAATTGGGGTTTCTCACCATGTTAGAGGGGTTCTCGACAGCGAAATTCTCTCCACGACAATTCTTTTGCGGTCCCTTGAATTTCGTTGTTGAGAGAGTCCACGTGTATTCCGAATTTTCTGCGTTATCAATGCTTTGAGANAGTGCTTGCAAAACCCCTGCGCGAGTGGGTCGACTTGCGTCAACACTCAAGGCAGCTTTCGATGCTTGTGTCCCCAAAATACTACTGGTGAGCGTTTTTTTTTTTTTTTTTTTTTTCTGCTGTGCATGATAAATTCGATTCTTCCTATTGATGCTCCACTATGCGCAATTTTTACTCCGTCAGAAAGTATCGCCTTCCGCACATCGAAGAGTCGATCGCAATGACACCTGTATTTGATCTGCCACAAACTGTACTATACAAATCCTAATAAATTATGGATTATCGAGTGTGTGTATAATTCCAAACATTTTGTATTAGATTTACACTGTGCGTATGTAATTTTATAGATATACAGTAGTGCTGTGCAGTAAGAACATAAGATATATGAAGAAGAAATATCATCAATCAAGTAAACTGCTGTTGGTGACTTCTGTTTCAAGAATGACTCCGGATCCAAATTTTGGGCTATATAGTTAAGGATGTATGTCAGATTTCTGTTCAGATTTTAAAAATGTTGTTCAGAATTTAGTGGGCTAGCGGTTTTATGCATTACAAATCATGAAGTTTTTTCAGTATGCAGCGAGACTCTCCACAGATTTTTTATTACGATTCTCTCTGTACAGTGCAACGAATTTGTTTGGCCCGCTGCGTTGCGTTGTAGAGGGAGTCCACCTGCACCTAGATTACCGAAAACTGATTGAAAGCAATCAAAATGAGCCAATATCCCTCAGAAATGCTCGTTCAGATGTAATGTCGATTTTATGTGCGTCGAGCCGTCTATCATAAATTCATTTTTCACCGAATTGTCAGACCCGCTTGCACAGAAATTTATATTTGAGACAAGTATTCCAAGATACAGCAGTATTTGAAAGAGAAAAAAATTTACATTTGCAGGTTTTTATTGTGGAGAACGGATGCAGCCAACCAACATCACTTCCACGAAATTTGTGATCTCACTGGAGGAGTTGTTGGGAATCGTCGGAGTCCTTATCATTATTGTGATCTGCATCCTTCTCTGTGTCTGTATCCGACGACTGCGGGGAAAGCGTGGGTTGCAAAGGAGGCCGTTGGAGAACGGAAATGTTGAAGAACGTAATATGATTCCTTTGTTAATGAAAACCAATGGACAAGAAATCGATTGTATCGGGAATCCGAAAATGAGTAACGTGGACCAAGTTCAATCACAGGTTCGTTTTTATCCCACCTTTTTGAACGTCTTGCGACTTGACGATTAATATTCCGAATATTTTTTCAAAAATTCAAATTTGTTCCTTTTCGATGAATTATCTTTTTGCGGATATTTTTCCAAAGGTAAAGTTCTTTTCACTTCAACGATTGACGTCAGTTACCCTAATTGTTATTGTCATTGCATTGGTGACGCCTATATTTTTAAAAATGTTTTCTTTCAAAGTCTTCTGCGATCTTTTCGGTCAGTTCAAAGTTGGGCAGCTATATTTTGCCACTTAATTTTCAATGTAGTCATTTTTGTCATCTAGAGACACCTGCTTGACGTTTCCGTTGATCTGTTGTTGCTCGAATGTTTTTTAAATACAGTATTCCAAACAGAATAGAGATTTTTGAAAATTTGTTCGTCAGTCTCGGAAGCAGTGAGGGAACTTCTGATATCATCGCTGATCAAGTCTGAATGCTTGAAAAGAGCAGACTAGATCCTTTACGATATTTTATCGTGTATTCAAACTTTCGAAGTTATGCGGTTGGTTTATGTATATTTTTGAAATTGAATTTTCTGTAGACGGCTTTTGTGGCATCATCGCTGCGTCCGGCATCCTACGCTCCTGCCACAACCGACAGCAACCTTTACAATCAGCAGTCGAACCTAAACAATTTCGATACCGTGCGGAGCTATGGGTCCGCTGCTGACGAGCTCGAGATGTACGTCCCACCTCCACCGGACTTTTTGCAGAACCTGAACAACCATGGGCCCAATGGTTCCAGCGTGATCGGGAAAACAATTTCGATACCGTGCGGAGCTATGGGTCCGCTGCTGACGAGCTCGAGATGTACGTCCCACCTCCACCGGACTTTTTGCAGAACCTGAACAACCATGGGCCCAATGGTTCCAGCGTGATCGGGATCTGCCCTGGTCCGTCGTGTTCCCCCCGCGGCGATGGAGTCGAGAACCCGATTGTTTGCAAGCCCTGGCATGTCAACGACCTCGATGCCAACAAGGGTGCATACTACGATAGTCAGAAGATCCGGAATGGTGAGTGCATGTTTTCATATCCCATACTTATCGTGTTCCCGGTACTCAGGTGCATTTTCGACGCCGATAGGATTTCCAGTCTCACGAATATACCGCTGTTTTTCCCCCTTTAAAGAGTCACGTTCTGAAAAAAAAAACACCCAAGATTTTTCAAATCTGAAGCTACGGATGGGTTCAAGGTTTTGCTAGTAGAGTATATGAACGTTATTTTGAAGAATGATGATTCAGCGAGGCTAAATTGTAATTTGGAAAAATGTTCTCAGTTTTCATTCTGAAAATTGAAATCTGTCGGAAAGTTCTCGATACGAGTGGACTCTCTCTGCACCGATCTTGTCTATAACAATTTTTTTCAGGAGAACGTATTTGTTCTGGTCCAATTGGGGTTTCTCACCATGTTAGAGGGGTTCTCGACAGCGAAATTCTCTCCACGACAATTCTTTTGCGGTCCCTTGAATTTCGTTGTTGAGAGAGTCCACGTGTATTCCGAATTTTCTGCGTTATCAATGCTTTGAGACTATTGCAAACACTTGCGACAAGTTTTGCATTTCATTTGCCAAGTGACCTCATTTGCAGCCTTGATTTATTCCTCACGTGATTCGCATCTAAAGCGACCTTCACACATCATAGCTAAATCATTAAATGCCACTATTGACGTACTGTGCCGTAATTTCCTTGGTACAAGGTTTTTAAGTTCGGGGAGTTGTCTCCGAATTTATTTTTTTGCTCAAAAATATTCTCCATCATTCAGACGAATTTAAAATTCGTTCAAATTGAAATTTTGCGTGGAAAACTGTGAGTAGTTCCGCAAAAATCCGTCTGCTCTCCCATTTCGAAATTGTCGGAGAGAGATTGTGCTAAAGTCGGAATATTACTCTGTGCAAATGATTTTAATGGCAGCAAAGAAGCTATATTTCCTCAGGAGTGGAGTGGAACAAATTACGGAGGAAATACTGAAGACACAAACTTGTCCTTGGAAATTTTCCTTGTAGCGTCTCTTTGATGGTGGAAGGTTCCTCGTAGTATGAATTACTTCTCAGATGATGTATTTTCCCTGTGATATTTTTTACACTTTCCACCATTTGATCTTGAAATTTGAAAACTCTATTACGAGAACCGTCTTACTGATGTGGGAGTTTAAGGAATTCAAAAGAGTTTTTTTGCTTACCGATCTAATGCATTTTTCATGTGGAAAATTCAACGGTACGGGGGTTCTAAGTACGCTTGTATTCTTTCCTTCCGATGAAAAGTAATCCAATTTATCTGAGTTTCATATCCTTGGAAAAATGGGAAGAGTGGTTCTGCGTAGTGAGTAGGAGGACTAAATGATTGATCGGGGAACTTCCCGTCGTTTTCCTTCTTGCACGTGTTCATCAAATGAAGACTCATCAAATTAAAAATTGATCTTCATCACTTATTTCTGCTGTTTCTATTCTGTTTCGTTTTTGGATTGCTGAAGATGCTGACCGTGGTTCCCGGATTTTGAGCAATTTATCGCGAGAAATGTGCTATGTAAGGTATTTCTTCAATGCATATATCAGTTAGAGAGTCAATTACAGTCGAAGCTCAAGGGAACAACAAACAAATTTGAGTTAAGGAGGTTTCGAATTATTCCAGAGAGGTTTGTAATGCATTATTTCTGAGGGGATTCGGACAGGGACTTGAAAAAATGGATTTAAACAATAAATTCGACGTAAGGAGGTTCGAGTTATCGAGGTTCAACTGTACACGTTTCAATTTGGGCAGTACAACGAATATAACCGAAACTAAGCAACTTTTTTTCTATTTCCGCTGCAATTTGGAGTATGCTGTAGTTCTGGACATTTTTCTTCTGCCCTATGTATAGGCAGCACCGTGGATAATACAGTTTATTATTTTAATTGAAGCGAAGTAAATGAGCAGAAGACTCGCCCAGTCGTGTATTTTAAACAGAACGTTCAGATTTTTCAATCTCTGCGTGGGCTTGAAACATGAATGGAAAAGTGTGACTCGTTCTGCATTCCTCGTAAAACTATTCAATATTCTTCTGAGATTAAAAATTGTTGTCGATAGTGCCCCTATATAGTAAAATGCGAAATACTGTATGTCGACGGAAGGGGAAAACAAACATTAGTGCCTACCGGTGAATGCAGGAATGGATTGAATCCCTGAATGGTGCTCTAAAAGTTGTTCGAGTTGGGGATGAATAAGACAGTTGAAATAATGCTCCATATTCATGTTGTCTTGTCTTCAAGAACGAATGACTTGTACTGAGCAAGATCATTGCAAAGACTCATAGCATAGACCGTAATATCATCAAATAAAATGCGTATGTAATGCGCTCCTAAGGACAACTTACATAACCTTCGAAAAATTCGAAAAATGTTCGCATTTCCCACGACATTCCATTATTTCTCATATGAAAGTACTGTGAAGCAGTCGAGATATTGTTCAATCATTGATGCATCCCGCTGCATCACAGCGAACTTTGCAGAATCGGCGAACTTGGAACTGATGTCTTTTTGCAGTTCATTGGAAGATATTTGAAGAGGCACGCCAGAAAACTTCAAATTGATGCGCATCAATTTATTTCATTCCACTGAGATTGCTGGGGAAAAAGAGATTTAAAAAAATTGAAGTCGAGGTTATTGTCGGGTTTTATGGATCCGTGAAGATCCTTCGCGATTTCTCGATTTGATTCAATTGATTTAGGTTTTTTTTGTATAATTTTGCTTTGCTCGAGGCATTTGAATCGTCGACTTCTGTGTTTGTCTCTTTTTCTTCCCATTTTCCTCGTGCCGCTGCTCTCCCTGTGTGCATTGGCGAACGATTATATTGCAGAGGTTGGATGAGCATCTGCGTATTCTACCTTTTCCGTGTCGTCGTTTGGTTCGGACGTGGCTGGTGGTTCGTGTTCCGCATGAAGCCCCGATTTTATCCCTTTTTCCGCATCTCTTTTTGACTTTTGAGGCACGCATGCCGTAGTTTCTGCCAATAATTCATCATCTTGCTCATCATTTTTTATGTACAGTATTTTTAATGCTCGTGCGATTTCGAAGATGCCTGATCCGACCCTCACACTCTTTTTGACTTTTGAGGCACGCATGCCGTAGTTTCTGCCAATAATTCATCATCTTGCTCATCATTTTTTATGTACAGTATTTTTAATGCTCGTGCGATTTCGAAGATGCCTGATCCGACCCTCACAAATCTTTCCACGCACTTGAAGGTTTTTTTTTTTTTTTTTTTCCGACAAGTTCGGTTTTAAAAGATGCGAGTTCCATAATACAATTAATACAATTTTGAAAGCTGAAGTTTCGAAGGTTTGGATCATGCCTAGAATACCGCTTGCATTGCTATTGCCGAAAGGCTTACTATTTGATTATGCTTGTGAATTTCTCTATAGGATAATTAATTTTTTGTTAAGATAGAAACACATTCAAATTTCGGTATCAAAAAGTTTTTAATGTACTGTACCGTAATCACTTTTCACTGAGGCATGATTCTCTGTTTCTCTCTTTCCTCTTTCTTTCCTTTTTTTTCTGTGTTTTGCGTGGCTGAAATTAAATATTTAATTTTTGCATTCCTACTGTATATTGCATGACTTTTGAAATCTGCTTGAGGAAAACATCATTGATTTTTGTCTTGGTATAAATTTTTCCTGAAGCTTCAGCTACTTCTCGGAATCAAAATTTTACTCTTCCATTATTCAGAAAAATTTTGCTTGGCATTTCACCGCTTTCTGGATCGAAAATTTTCGTACATCTTGTTCCGGTTGGGCGGTCAGAACATTCTCGGTTAATCTATGAATATTTTTTGGAACAATGTTACACAGCCTAAACTGAAGGAATTTTCAAGAAGATAATTCATTTCTCTTTCTTACGGACTTCGCGAGATACAATATTCTGGCCTACTTGATGAAGGAAAATAGAATTGTGAGATCAGCGATTTGGATGAACCTCATGTCCCTTCTGTAAGCTTCAAATATCAGGGACGTACAATACTGTATTTGTAATACCAGGACGAAAGGCATGAAGCATATTCGTGCTTATGTACGCATGCATCCATCTGTTTCATTTTACTATAGACAGTTGCG